ATCAATCGATAAGCGGCGAAGACGAACATCTCAGGTGACTTGAGGTTGTACTTCAAGCAATCAAGACCTCCAAACTCCCTCTAAAGCCAGAAAAGTGCCGCTTTGCATATGAAAAAGTCTTGTTTGGGGACACATGATAAGCAATTCCGGAGTACGCCCTTGACCCGCAGAAGACAACGGCCATCGCTGAATTCCCGCCATCCTTCTACAAAAAAGCAGTGCGTCGATTTCTCGGCTATTGCACCTTATACAGGCGTTTCGTCGAAAATGTTGCCCGCATCGCCAAGCCACTCACTAAATTCACGAATACTGACCTCGAGTTCAAGCGGGAAACGCCACAGGAGGAAGCATTTCAAGAACGAAAACGACGCCTGCAGACACCGCCGATACTTGTACATTTTGACGAGGACACCGACACAGAAATTACGCCGACGCAAGCAGTGTAGGGCTCAGAGCCGTCTTGGTGCACAAGATAGATAGGCTTGAAAGGGTCATTGGTTATGCAAGCTGGTCGCTATCTAAGGTGAAGTCAACCATTCCACAAGAGAAGTAGGGTGTCGTGCCGTCATCTGGGCTACCTTCAAGTATCGCCCCTACCTCGATGGCAGATCTTTCAAAGTTGTGAGTGACCACCACGAGCTTTCTTGGCTAGCTAACTTGAAAGACTCTTCAGGTCCCCTTGCACTGTGAAGCCTGCTACTTCAGGAACTTGACCTTAACTTCGTTTACCAGTCGTGACAAAGGCACTGTGATGGCGACTGCCAGTCCCGCGCACCCGTTGACCCACCGCCACAGGACAACGAGAATGACGACTGTTTCTTGGGAACCTTAAGCGCCGTTGACTTTGCAGAACGGCGGCGAGCCAACCCTGAGGGCAAGGCTTCCGTTGTTCCAAAGGTATTCAAGCGAGGACTATCGTCGTTTGGTTAGGTAATGGCATCCTCGCCAAAAAAAACCGCTCACCACATCGAGCCAACTACATCACTGTGGTACATTCAGCATTACGTCCAGAAGTTTCCAATGCTCTACACGATGACCTCACGGCTGGACACTTTGGTGTTTCCCAAAGGCTCGCAAGAATACAAGAGAAGTACGCGACGTCTTTCCGACGACGTCACTCCTTATGTGAAGATATGCCGGGTCTGCCAAGCCAAAAGACACTGCCAACTAAGCCAGCCGTACATCTCCAGCCCATCGAGCCACCTCACCGGCCCGGCCGTTCCAGCAAAACGGCATGGCCTTACTAGGGCGGTTCCCGATATCAAATTCTGTGAACAAATGGATCGCCGTAGCTACCGACTACCTCACGTGCTACACCTTAATAAGGACCCTGCCTGAAGGCAGTGCCACCGAAGTAGCAAAGTTATTTGTAGAGAACATCTCCTGCGTCACGGAGTTCCACAGGTCCTCATTACTGACAGAGGTATGGCCTTCACTGCGGACATAACTCAGGTGACCCTAAGTACGCGACGTCTTTCCGACGACGTCACTTCTTATGTGAAGATATGCCGGGTCTGCCAAGCCATAAGACACTGCCAACTAGGCCAGCCGTACATCTCCAGCCCATCGAGCCGACAAGTCACCGCCTGACCACCGCCTACCATTCACAGACCAATGACCTCACAGAGCATCTGATTAAGACCATCGTTGATATGCTTGCAATGTACGTCGGCGTCGAGTACAAAACGTGGGATCAAATTATTCTGTACGGAACGTTCGCGTAAAATACGGCCGTCCAAAACACGACGCAGATGACGCCGTACAAGTTGGTCTATGGAAAGAGCGTCGCAGTGACGCTGGACGCTATACTTCCGATTGTCGCTGATGAAGAGGACATCGAGGTCATCGTCTATCTTCAGCACGCTGAAAAAGCTCGTCAACTAGCCCGCCTGTGCATCATAAATCAGAAGGCGACCGACAGCCGCCGTTACAATCTTCAACGAAGCTTCGTGGAGTACCAGCCCGGAGTCTGTGTCTGGGTATAGGCACCCGGCAGTGGAAAGAAGGCGCGACGAAGCTCTTTGGGCCGCCTCAGCATTGTTGGTACCGGCCACCAGGGATACTAAAAAAATGGAACGCTCGCTGGACACAGTGGCACGCTGAAGTGTCAGTGCCCTTTTTGACACGTTTTCAAAGAACGCTTCCTGGGCGCTTACATAATCAGCCACGGCTCCCTTGCTCACAACTAAAAAAGAACATATTGATATGCACGTGCAAGTTTGCTTTTGCTGCGTCTACTCGCTAGGCTACGCATTGGAAGACTCGGTTTTGCTGCGTCTACTCGCTAGGCTGTGTGTTTTGGCGCTACCATCAGATCTGCCGAGTGCCATGGACGCTGATACGCCGACGCAGCCTCAGTGAAAAGCTTTTGTAACGGTGCTTCGTACCATACAGAGTAGTTCAACGTCTCGGCCCACTCGACTACGAGGTCGTTCCGAAGGGCATTACGAACTCTCAACGACGCCGTGCTTGACCTGAATTTGCCCATGTTGTGCGCCTCAAGCCATTTCATACGCAAACCCAAGGAGAGTATTTTGTTGTGTCTGTGCTTTATTGCTTGTACTTGTTCATTTTTAGATATTGTACTTTCGTTGTTTGTTAAACAATCGGGACGATGCCTTTTTTCAGACGGGCGCAATGCCACATTCTCTCCTCGTGTTTTGTGATCACGCCGTCTTACTGTCAGTGATTCTCAGCGCAAACTACGCCGAGACTGTTCGAGAAGCTTCGGGATGGCAGTAGTTCAGTTTGGCAAGATCACGCCTACTTCCAGAGCAGTACTGTTTATTCTAGAACCTACGTCGCCGCTAGCGATAAAGCTAGAATATTCGATGACAAGGGTGTAAATACCGGCACACCTCGCCGCTTGTCAGTTGATCGACGGCCCACGCTCGGCTCGTCGCTATCTGTGCCAGTGTCTTACTTCCCTTTTCCGTGGCCACAAGTTCAGCCCTAATAGATAGTTTCTTCTTCGACCTGGAGCCTGCTCCTTTTGTTCACGTCATAACCCCGAGGCAATATGCTGATATGGACTATTTGCCACAGATGGTAGAAAGATGGATGGATATGTCCGGTTTAACGTCCCAAAACCACCATATGATTATGAAAGACGCCGTAGTGGAGGGCTCCGGAAATTTCGACCACCTGGGGTTCTTTAACGTGCACCCAAATCTGCGCACACGGGCCTACAACATTTCTGTCCCCACCTGAAATGCAGCCATCACAGCCGGGATTCAAACCCGCAACCTGCGGTTCAGCAGCCGAGTACCTTAGCCACTATACCACCACGGCGGGGCTGGTAGAAAGGTGTTAGAGGAAGCTGAGTGTGTTTTCTACCGGGCAACGCTCGTAAATAGTTTTTGAACATGAACGCTTTCCTTGAAAAGCCCACGAGAAAAATTGCCCCTTTCTGAACCCAGTGCAGCTGGAGACTGAGAAAAAAATTGGCAGCATATCCACGGAGTGAATGATGGAGAGCTGGGCTAAGCATCTGTCCGTCTATTCGTTCTTGCTTCCGTCCGTCCATGCGTGCGTCTGTGTGGCCGCCCATGCGTCCATCCACCCGTCCGTGCGTGCGCCTGTTCGTGCGTCCGCACGTCCATCTGTGTGTCCGTCTCTGCGTTCGTCCATGCATCCGCCCCTGCGTCCGTCCACGCGTCCATCCGTCCGTTCAGCCATCTGTGCGTGCGTCCATGCATCTGTGTGTGTGTTCGTTCGTCCACTTATTCAACACTCCAAAAACCACCATCTCGCATATTTTCATCATATATTCCTCATATAGAAGCACCGCCATCCAGCGGGCATTCCAAGGACTGAACGAGAGGAGGCACACGCACACTTTCTTACGGCTTGCGCTTCGTGTCTACTTCCCACCTTTAACCACCTCGAGTTCGTGGCATATACTAGTTCACTGTATTCATGGCACTGCGGCCCAACGCTGGCTAAACCTTTTTAAAACCAAGGAGGTTACGCCCAGCAAGTTTAACGTAGCAACCCTTTCTTGTCAGATAGTGCTCAATGTGCATGCCAATGGCTGCCAAGTGGGAATGAGAGACAGGAGTATTCGGCTTTTAGTTAGCACGCCCGCGGCGAATTTTTTATTGTTCAACAACGCACAGAATAAATCTCCCGCTGGCACCACCTTGGAGGCCAAAATGCAAGACTGGTTACACACTACTACCACGACTACAAGGGACGAACGGGTGCCGCTATAAGGAGCTTCGGCCCTAAAAAAGCGTTGGGCCAACTCACATCAGATACCCTACGTGGCAAGAGACGCAAGGGTGTCACTCCAGGCAAACCATTTTCCAAGAAAATTAAATATGCAGGAGCGTCCTGTTCTGCATTGTCAACCCCCTCAGCGCGTTGCTTAAACACCAAGACATAGCAAATGTAACAGGTATTGGTTCACACTTTTACTGTGTGTACCTGTGCCTTTCACTAGAGATATTTTTTGTGGTTAAGCAGCGTGCTGCAAGTATCAAAATGATGATTGATTTATGCGGTTTAACGTCCCGAAACCGCCAGATGATAATGAGAGATGCAGTAGTAGAGGGCTCCCGAAATTTCGACCACCGGGGATATTTTAACGTGCACCCAAATCTGAGCACATGGGCCTACAACATTTCCGGATATATCGAGAATGCAGCCGCCGCAGCCAGTATTTGATCCCATTAACTGTGTATCCAAGTATCAAAATCTTATCGTTCTTCGTGTGACATTCTTATTACTTACTATCACACTCATAGCTTCGCCCTTGCGGTGAAACTGTGACTTTCTGTTTGTATTTGCGAGACTGAATTATGCATTGAAAGTTCGTTTAACTTTAAAAGCTGACAGAAATTTGAAACGCTAAAAAATATTTATTCACAAAACAAGAGGACAGGACGAACGCTGAGTGCGTGTTTTTTTTCGCTAAAAATTGCCGTAAACTATGCACCATCTCGCCGAATTTCATGTTTCGGTAAACCTATAATTGAACCAAGAAACTGCACTCTCACCTCGTGTCCAAGAAATCCCCTCTACAGGATATCCGGAATAGTGACAATCCAGTCGGAGTGATTCACCGGCCACTGCGCTTATGGGTGCCATGGGCCGCACCAGGGGCGGGCCGAGCACGTTAAGCCGGGCGGCATGCTCCACCATTCCGGCGGCGTTGGACGCCCGGCAGCTGTAAAGACCACCATGCTCCAGTCTCACTGCACTGATGTTGATGAAACTGGAAACATGACCAGGAAGCGCCACCAATGCTTTAGCTTCCGGTAAGGACGCTCCGTCTAGTGCCCACGAAATGCGAGGCAGCGGGCTTCCCGTCGCCGAGCACTGCAGCGATATCCTACGGCCAGTGTTGGTCGATTGCTCCGAGAAGACTGACAGGAACGAGGGGGCAGAAACTGCGTAATACAATGCAATCGTTTGTTGCAATATTTGACGTGAATTCTGTTCACATCCTAAAGGAGGCATGATCGCTGCCTTTGCTTGAATTTAGTTCAGGTACCACCGATCATGTGTTATCTTTCATTCACAATTGTAATAAATATACAGTTGAGCTTACATTTTCATCAAAGCCTGTTGCTAAATCAACTTGTTTGTCAATTTTAGGCAAGCATTGAATGGTATATGCTTTCAAAGTTTGGCAGCTAGAGATGAAAACTTGACATAGAAAGGTGTTCTCTGCGCACGTTAAAAAAAACCGATTAGGGCAATGTATAGAAATTCGCTCAAATGCTAAAAACCAGCGCCAATTCACGACGCAGGCAAGTAGGCACGGCGATGTGGTATTGTGCTTCTTCTCTGCACTATCAATGTGTGACTATGTCTAAATAACCAGCCTAATTCATTGAGGTTGATTGGATGCAGTGTTGGTTTAATGTCTGGTATTGCCTATCCACAGCAAAATAAAGTATACCCTGCTGGGAGGATTTAGAGGGTGATGCTCGCACTCTTCTCCTGTGACCTCACTCAAATCTTAATGCACCGTGTTATATCTACTTGTTTTCCACCATTTTCATTTGGGGGGGGGGGGGGGGGATGGACAAAGGAAACGGGAGGAAAACTGGGCAAGTTCCCTGATTATGCACTAGTGCTTACTCCACAACTGCTTTGGCGCATTGCTTATGCTCCTGTGGATGCTCCGCAATAGCTCCGGCGCATCTTTCAGCGGCTTTTATTGGCTCTTGGAGGACTGGTGTAGTTAGCCTCGTTGCCCGGTGGTCGCTCCCTCAACTTTAACGTTTTAAGCGTACAAAGGTAACAACGGATTAAGGAAACAACAAGGACAAGTGCTTGGCCCCGTTTTTGCCTTAGTCCGTTGTTACCTCAGTGCGCTTCAGCTGTTAAAGATATGGAATACCAACTAGCCCGCTTCTACATCTAATTCCCCACAAACCAACATAGCGCAGACGAAGCCCGTGCAGTGAGGATTGTGTGAGGCCTTCGGCCGCGTTCGGGAAAACGTTGTGTACACTTTCTGTATATTAGCCCCACCGTGGTGGTCTAGTGGCTAAGGTACTGGGCTGCTGACCCGCAGGTCGCGGGATCAATTCCCGGCTGCAGCGGCTGCATTTCCGATGGAGGCGGAAATGTTGTAGGCCCGTGTTCTCAGATTTAGGCACACGTTAGAGAACCCCGGTGGTCGAAATTTCCGGAGCCCTCCACTTCGGCGTCTCTCTTAATCATAAGGTGGGTTTGGGATGTTAAACTCCACAAATCAATCACGTTCTGTATACTACAAGTGGACACGAAAGTTGTCATTGAGAGAAGGGAGTTGTGGAAACCTTATTCATGTGACGGTTCCGGGCAGTGAACGACATCTTGTGACCTCGCAATTGTTGAGTTTCCGGGCGGTCGCTGGTGCTGCTTAATACTGGTGAGAGAGCTCTTCTTTAATTGCCTTTGTTATTCTTGTTACGTAGTACTAAATTTGTATATTGTGGGGTTGATAAACCAAAAATTTGATCAATGATGGGTAATTTTACAAGACGTCAGTAAAACGTCAGCGGAATTCTTATAATGCGTTGTTTGGCGCAAGTGTTTTTAACACCATTTCGGTAAATTAAATTGAACCAATTTATATTTGGAGTGCTGTTAGACATGCGACAATGAAAAATATAGTGTCGGGCTGACTCTATAAAAAGGTAATAATTGTTATAAGCAAAACCTAACACGGTAAATTGTTTCCGGCTTGTCAGTACACGTAAACAATAATATTCGTCTGCCTTCCATATTAATAAACGCCAGGTCTAGGTCTGCCACTGTGTAAAAATTATTTTGATCTATCATGTTAGCTTAACGAACAAAACACATATACCTAAGATCAGCATTAATTTTTTATCAATGTAGTAAATTAAGGAAGGGCAATGTGTTTGGCACAGGCTCTTAAAACGCAACACGCCCTCATGCAGGTGAGAAACTTATTTTGATTGTATAAGTGGTACCTGAGATATATATTCTACAAGAGTTCTGGACTCTTTGGTGATGTGGTGCTTTCAGGAGAAGAAAGAGAGTGGCGAAAAAACTGACGTGACTAGAAACAAGGAATGCGAAATAAAGGGAAGGGTTTCTTGGCAGAACGAGTAGCGTGACGCTCGAAGTGTCTTGAGAAGCAAGGAGGGGGGATTCGTGAAGTTAACCCATTTGGCAGCCCGGCTCAACATTGTAAACAATCAATCAATCAGTTTATTATTATGTCACAAAAGGATGTTACAGATGTAAAATATGCAGACGAGGGTCCCAAAGTACAAGACTGCAACGGGAAAAGGGAATTTGACAGTAAAAGAAGGAAAGAAAGCAGAGGGCACCCTCTCGAAAAACTAGCCATATTTTCTGTGTTAATAATGGGAGCGAGCATACTATGCTGCTTCTTCAGTTTTTTTTTTATCTTTCCAGTCCTGCTGCCTTTACTGTGACCACAGTTACTTTTTTGGGGCAGGAGACGAGAGTAACGTTTTCTCAACCAAAGAGGGGAAACTGTTCAAATATTGGCTTTTAGGGCCTCACTGAGAATATAACCCCTCTTTGTATCTCTTTCTGACTAACAGTTCAGAGGCCTGGAGTGTGCAACAACGCTGGCTTGTGAACGGAATAGGGGAAACAAAATTCTACAAGCCTGATTGATTGATATGTGGGGTTTAACGTCCCAAAACCACTATATGACTATGAGAGACGCCGTAGTGGAGGGCTCCGGAAATTTAGACCACCTGGGGTTCTTTAACGTGCACCCAAATCTGAGCACACGGGCCTACAACATTTCCGCCTCCATCGGAAATGCAGCCGCCGCAGCCGGGATTCGAACCCGCGCCCTGCGGGTCAGCAGCCGAGTACCTTAGCCGCTAGACCACCGCGGCGGGGCATTCTACAAGCCTGGTATGCATGTCGCGAACGTCATGACGCCTCCACGTGCATCATCTTTCGTGGCCTCCAGGCGTTTCCACAGACCTGTTAGGTAAGCAATTCGTCGGCCTTCCCTTACTTTGGTCAGTATATGAGAAAAGGCAGTTGGCTCAAGTGGCACAATGTTTGTACCTTTTATTTCGTATTTTTTGTCGTTGTAGTCAATATCTCTTTATTTTGTGCTTGAGGCTGTTTGTTTTGCAGAAAACTATGCTCATGCAATAACTACTTGGAATATGTTCCGTACTACAAGTATAAAAACAGTGTGGGCAGTGCAAAATAAACAAACACAAAAACAATGCCAACTCATCTCAAAATATATTTTGCGAAGGAGATGCAGCTATGATTTTCTCAAGGACAGGCACAAACCATGCAAACAGTAAAGGACTACTATGTTAGAAGTATGAGAATGAGCATGTATTAATATGGGACTGTAATATACATCATTATTATTTATAAAACTAGGAAATGATTGGGAGGGGCATTCCTAATGCTGTCTAAGGGAGCGCTATATTTCGATTACTTTAGCCAAAAATTGCTTTTGAAGGTTTCTGCAAGGAAAGAGCTTTCAATTTGGAAATATATAGGGAACTTTGGGCAGTCCTAAATTTTGTTTGCGTCATGGAGGTGTGTGTTTATTTTGTAGCGGCTGTCTAACACCAGAGTACATGGAATCACTTCTTGATATTGAACGCTCATCCAGTCGTTTATTTGTTTGTGTGTGTGTGTGTGGGGGGGGGGGGGGGTGGTTTTAGAAGCTAGTTATTCTCGTGTACTCGCAGACTGTTTAGGATTTTTTTAGTTTTCATGGTTTCAGTGTTCTCAGTTTTTGTGCATCACGCATAAGTTGTAGTTCTCATTTATAAATATTTGTTTTTCATAAATGAAGAAGGCAGCAGGGACGTAGCCAGGGGGTGGCATACCGGGTCCGTGCCTCCTCTACAATTTTTTTCGCCATAGCACGAAGGGTGAAAGATGGCCCACTCAGAGAGAGTGCCCCTCCCGACATCAAGGTGTTGCCCCCTTCCTTTCAAAAATTTTTGGCTACGCGCCTGGCAGGTAGTAATCAGCTAAACCCTTGCGTCGTCAATGAATGGATGCTCCTTCGGCGAGGGTCAAGAGTTGTTCCCAGTGGCCGTGGTTTTTTCGTTTGTCATGTATCTTTTTGCAGCATTCTGGTTTAATTTCAACGCGCTGCACTTAACAATAATGTGCTATTGATTTCAAGTGATTTGTCTTCTCGTGCTTTGTTTCGGTGGCTTTCTGGATGTTCGTTTCTTGTCTTCTTTTCCCAAAGGCTGGGTGATCAACCAAAAACTGCTACTTATTTAAAATTAACCAAACAATAACTGTTTTCTTGAATTTGATCTGGTAGAGAGAGCTCTGCGGAAAAATATACAGTAACTCTGCAGTGCTTGCATAAAAACTGAGACTTCCGTCATCAAAAGATGCGCGAAACAATAAACATAGAATAAATAAACTGCAGCGCAAACACTTAAAAATACTGATTCACCTTACTGAAATTTTGTCCGCACGAAATAGGTACATGCGAAAAATACTCTGGAGGTTCCACACAAGAGTTCCGGATAGCCGAACTGAAAGCCCGCGAGGAATGTTCCGGGGGTGTGACGTAAGCACTCCGGCCGGTCGGAGAGAAATGCAAGTAAAGAGTACTACGGCGGCGCCGGCAATCGCTCCAGTCGGCCGGAGTGAAATATCTGTTAAAATTACTCCGGGTGCGCCACGTGATTCCTTCGGCAAGCCGAAGCAATAAGTTTGCTTCGGAGCTCCAGAGATAAAATTGCTCCGAATAGGGAGACGCTAAGGGACAAGCGTTTTACTCCAACCTCAGAGTCATTAGTTTTTACAGTGTAGGCAAAATCAGCCTATGTTGACTAGCACTTAGCCTGCTCTACCATTTACCTGCCGTATGTATTCAGGCAACTTTCTAGTCATTAGGTAATATCTCCACCCAGTGTTCGGCAACAGTTATTGATATTAGCCACCAGGTCCTAAAGGTTACACCTAGTTATACAGTTAAGTTTAATGCGAACAAATACGGTAGCACATGACACTCATCATTAACTGTTTATGGTGTTCTAATCCGCTATGTTGTTTCGCGAAGATGGTATAGGCATCAGGAATAGTGTGTAGACGCAACGTTAAATAGCAGTTCTTAGCTATCGATAGCTGACATTAGGCACTAGGCGGGCGAGTACTGCCGATGTCATTGTCTGTTACGCTGTCGCCTTTACCTTAACAATGTTCGTTCTCGCCATTTTAGACAGAAATAACGTGCCAGTCCTATATGGCGCATAGCCACAAACCATGGTATACAAGTGTGTGCCACATGTGTCTGGGGGAAAAATGTTGCGAATTGTGCAATGAGTCGGTCCTTTAATGCTTCTGGCCCATTAGAAAGGCCTCAGCCACAATTCTTCTTGATCACCGACCACAACACCAAATGCACATAACACCTGACATATATGCAGCGGGTGGAATGCTTCTCCGTAAAAACACAAAAAATCGCATATTGAATATTTTCCTATACACTGAAAAGTACAATGATTGCAGGCTAGTGGGTCCGTTGGATGCGTATGTGTTTTGTTCTCCCAGAAAGAGTCCATAAAGCGTTTTAGGAAAGCCAGTGTTGACTGTGACCGTGTTGTGTGTCTCATGCATGTATGTGATCTTGTGTGCGTGTGCTAATTTTCCATGATACCGGTTACGGACACTGGCAGCAGACGCGAACTACACCACCAAAATCGTTTTTTTTTTTGGTCTCTCATTTTCAAAAATATATCACTTGCAAGGGTGAGCGTGCGAGACATAGCTTGGTACACGTTCAAGACATAAAAACGCTTCGATTAAGGCCCAACCAATGGCATGCCTATGCACGCGTACGCACGCACCTACGCGCCAAATGCGCCTCTCTGTGTCGTCCACGGAGGGTGAATGCAAGAGTGAAGCCAGGGCGTCTCCGAATTTTAAAGACGATAGCCTTTCTTGGGGTACTTCAGTGCAAAAATGTTGCTCTGTCAATCTCTCTGTCCGTCTGCTTGTCAAGTGAAACGGCTCAAGTACGACCACATCCGCAGCGCCCACGAATATTGCTCAAGTTTCGGTGTTTGTACTTGTGCGATTGTTGATTACAAAGCCAATATTGCCCACAACTAAGGCACATTATCAACACGTTAATATTCTGCTGTGTGCTCCTTTGTACAAGAAAAGGCATAGATAAGTTATTCGGAGTACTGTAGCGCTTATTACGCTACGCTGTCAATGCGACGCTATGCACGAAAAAGTGACCTTTCTACGATTTCTTAATACGATATGGTGCTGCACTGACCTTGAAATCTACAAAACTTGGCCTCCAAGATTGTGCGCGCACGCTACGCGCCCGCCGCAATAGAGGCCATCCTTTCGTTTTCTAAGATTACCACTAGTTGGCACTAGTGTCGTACGCAGCGTAAATAATTGTAAAACTCATTACTATCTGACTAAAATTTTTGACCATATGCGCGCGTTCAAAAATAATCGTTTGATTCTTGCAGGCGATTTTAACTTGCCGAATGTTGACTGGCGCGTTCCTGGCTACAGCTCTGGTGTAAATACGTTGATCCCTCTCAGTGACATTGCCCTGCTGTGTGATATTGTACAGGTTGTTAATGTGAGCACCAGAGAGGCTGGAAACGCCTATACTATAGTCGGCCTGATCTTTCTGACTTCCTATGTATGCAAATACACAATCTCTATTGAAGATGGCATCTGCGACCATAAAGTAGCGTTTTTATTCTTTAGCATTGGCGAAAAAAAAAGTACACTGACAGGAGGCCAGTTATCTCATTAGGAATTACTCGAAGGCAGACGACCAGGCCATTTTGGATTGTCTGTGGTTCTTATGCGATAATATTTCAGATAATATGTCGACCACTTCAGATATTGGGTCGCAGGCGGACGCGCTGAAACGCGCATGCATCGAAGCAATGCAGCACGCCGCGCGCCTGCGAGTATATTGCAAGACCACCGCCTGGCGTGGCAACGCCAGCGTGACGTGTTGAAATGAACGCCAGCGAGCACGCGCACCGCGTCACGTCGATATGTATTGGTGCCTTGACCATGGCATGTCGTCATCTTCTTACATGACACGCATGCTTTGATTATCAAGCTTGCAGCAGCCACATACCTTCGTCATTCATTGGCGTCACCTAATACCAAATTTGGCATATGTGAAGCTAGCACAACGGCCACGAGCGCATCATGAGTGTGGCATGTAGTCTTGTACCTACATGACATGCATGTCATGTTTATCATGTGTGAATGTGTCATTTACCTATGTCGTCCATTCTTATCGCATAATACCGCGTTTTGGTACATGTGAAGCTAGAAAAACGACCGCGAGCACATCATGAGCGTAGCTAGTAGTAATGTTGTTACATGACACGCATCTCATGATTATCGTGTTTCCACCAGTCACATACATTCGTCATGCATTCACGTACCGTAACACCGAATTTGCTTTGCGTGACTCTAGCGAAACGGCTACGAGCGCATCATGAGCGTGGCATGTAGTCATGTTGTTACATGAGGCGCATGTCATTTTTTCACGTTGGGGTCTATCGCTTCTGTTCGCCATGCATTCATGTCATGCCATACCAGTTTCGCAACATGCCATGTGAACGAAACCACCGCAAAAGCTGCAGGACCATCAAATGTAAATCATGACATTCATAACATACACTGCATAATTATCTTTTGCTGGGCGTGATTTCTGCGAGGCTGGGAGCAGGCGTCAAAAAGGCAATCGCATCAGAGCTGGCGATACCGCTAACATCGTTGGCTGTGTCTCATGATGCATGGGCGTACAGTGTTCTAAACGCGACCTTTCATTCTCGGGAGCAGCGCACTCACCGATGTTGATTTTTTGACATACCGTGGTAGTTAGTTTGGTCACTGCACTGTAAATTACTTCCTAAACAATCAAAACTGTACTGGACATAGCATAGTGTATATTTGAACGTGGTCTATGGTCTAATATCTTCGAAAACGTACCAACTCGCTTCAGTGGAGAACCCACCGTTCTGCGCTGAACTTGTGTAGATTTGAATGAAAAGATCAAGCAACACTATGTAAACCATCGACGAGTGAGCGTCGACGCTTACCAGTGGTGCGCGCACTTTTCCTTTGCCGGCGCGACACGACGCTTTTAACGCGTAAGCACGCTCGTATGCGTGCCAGTGGTTCGGCCTTCAGTTTGGACGTTGTAGGTATGATATATGATGCCTGTGATGTAAAGAATCAGCTGCAGTTTAGTCATGTGCGCATAATCATTTGTCTCTGTTCTTCTTGCGCGCAAAAGCCAAAGCCAACTAACCAAACTTTCAGCTGAGCACAGTGATATTTGCAAATTGTGATTTGCACGGAGTTTTTACTAATGAATGAACTTGTTTTTAAGGTGTTAAAAGAGTAATCATTTATAGATAGAGTGGGGAAAGCAGTAGAATCGCTGACAGTAAGACTTACATCCAAGTTTGAGCCACGCAGTGCCTTGTGCAGAGTCCCGCTCATTTCGCACAAGGCATTGATAAATACCGGCGTCTTCTCTGGAGACAGACTGCACCATCAGGGAGCGGCCATCAGGCGAAACCTGCATGCATGAGTCAAGTTTATCACAACTTAGAATGTGAGGTGCAATGACTATCCGAAAAAGTTGCGCTCTATGCATATGCTCACAAGAAAAGGCAAAAGATAAATAAAGAACTATGCGCAAGCGCGTCACAGCTCTCTTATATGGCCACTTTTGTCATATGAAGAAAGTTAATAGTTCAGCGTGAACCAACTCGTTCTCAATGAGGTAGTTTTGAAGTGCCATCATTGGTGACTTCCAAGTGCGGCTGTGCTAGGTACAGAGGAAGGAGTACTAAGCCCTGACATCAAGTATGCAAGACAGCCAGATTGCAAACACCCGAACAGCCTCTTAGGGCGGGAGAAGATAAACACTTCTCAATGGTCACCTCGTGGTGCGTTGTTTTGCGAATGTTGCTCCTTTGGCGCGTTCTTCGGAGAAAGCTGCGCAATGCCCAGATGTTTTGTATACTCGTTGCGAATCGCGTGCACTGCCAAAGTACCTGGTGTCCTATTTCACGTACGTTCGATTCATGTCCGATTACTAATGCATAATATTTGCATGTGAAGGTCTTGGCTGCTGTGCTCTCTGTTGTTTCTTACTTATTGTGGCAACTGTGAAGACACCCGAACTTTTTGTTGATAAAGCAGGCATTGTATCGCGTTTTTAGAACTTGTGTCGTTCATCGGGAAAGAAAATAAACTTCTCTTGTTATCGAACTACGAGTGTATGTGTTGTGCACAGTGCGCTTTACGTGTTAGTTGTGTGCACACTGGAATTGCAAACATTACGCGCAAGATTGGTATAAAACTACAGCGGTGTCTTTTAGTCAACAAAAACTGCAATTTGTTGCTTTAGCATTCATTCCTTCACCCTTGTACCAAATGAAAAAAACAAAGCAAAATAAATTCTCGGCTACCTTGGTGGAGACGCGTTTCCTTTTTGTGTTAAACTTATTCCTGAAAAGGGGAATCTGCTATGCTTTTTAATCATTTCTTGCTCGGACGCTGACACTCGGTAAGGCTCACGGTAAATAGAGTCACCAGTGTTGATTCGGTGCCTTGCAATCTTAGTCTGGCCCAAGGGACCAATATGGAGGTCAAAAAAGTCACTCTATGAGGCCTGAATCCGGCAGAGAGCGTCGGCCTGGTAAGGCGAAAAGTCCAATCCTAGCATATTTCGAAAAATAGCCTCGTCCGAACTGGGAAACTAGTGTGAGACTGCGCCTCGACCAAGAGCAGATACAGCGACAACACTGACGTCCTCATCTACTATGGCAGTTAGTTGGGCTAGAGACATCTGGCAAGGCAGCACTTGAGCGGTGAAGCTAAAAAAGTAGTGGAAGCAACACACAATTATTCACTATGGTTGCGATGACAGGGGTATATAGCAACTGCACATCAGTCGAACGTCAGTAATCAGCGTAACGATGTCATCGCCGTCAAGAACGCAAAGGGCTGATGACAAACACACGTACGTGACAGCTCGAGGTCACAGGCTAATAAAAGTGGTTAGGTTCTAGCGGCTTGCGGGCTTTTGAGAGTAGTCGGCAAAGTGTGGGAGATCGAGGCTGAGTGTTCCAGATGAATAGCCAATGAAGGCTTAGCGAGCCAAAAGGAAATCAAAGCAAATTTATTTATCGTTCAGTTATCGGCCATTTATCGAACGTAGCGGGATAGTGTACACTGGCAAAACGGTGCTACCATACATTGTGAAGCTCTTTTTTACAAGTCCCTTTTCTATTAGCATCTTACCCATTCTTTTCGTATGGTGGACTACAACAACACGAACTTGCAAAAACACGGACGGTTCGGTCTAGGGAAGTTTGACAGGTGCCTTTGTCATGCCATCTCGATCAATCACCGTCAAATTCAAGACATCACACGTCACGACATCTACGATATCTGAGCTCGCAGCTCTTCGAGCCGCTGTGGAGTTTGTTACGCAAAAATCCCCTAGTAGATAAGCCATTTTCTGCGACTTCAAGGCAGCCCTTCAATGCAGCCCTTCATTCCGTGTTGTTATTTTCCTTTTTTTGAAATTAGGGATTCATTTGTTCTGATGCATGGTATTTGAGTTTGCACCGCTGTCTGTTTGTCCATGCTGTCGAGTTCGAAGGTGCTTGTGGGTCTCTGTCAAGCTCCATCTTTTGGATAGAAGCTTTTAATTGCAGTAATCTTTTGTCAACTGTAATGATGAGACACCAGTATAATAATAATAATAATAATAATAATATTTATAATAATAATAATAATGAGAATTCTTTGCTGAAAAAGTTGATGTTTAAACTTTTTTACACTGTTTAAAAGTTAAACAGTGTAAAAACACTGTTGCACAGTGTTAACACAGTGTGTTAACACTGTTTAAAAGTTAAACTCGAGAGCAACAAAACAGATGAGACACAGGAACAGCACCCAACTTGTCATCTGCACCTTGTCTGTTCTTTTTTCTTTTCGCGAAGCATTTCTTAGTGAACTTCGGCGACTTTGAGCGTGTCTATCTATCTATCTATCTATTTATCTATCTATCTATCTATCCACCTACGACTTTCAGCTCTCCTGGCCGTTTCCATAATGGCTTAACATGACTGTATGACGAGCATAAGTGACTAGTCGTAACATGAAAGTAATGACATGTATGTCATGAATTTCATGATTTACCTTTCATGGTCTTGCTGCTCTTGTGGTGCTTTTGGCCATACGACATGTTGCAAAACTGGTATGGTGTGCTGTGACTACATGGTGAACACAAGTGACACGTTCAAACATGATAATTATGACATGCGTGTCATGTAACAACGTGTATACATGTCACACTCACGATGCGCTCACGGCCGTTTTGCTAGCTTCACTTATATCAAATTTGGTATTACGTGGCGTGAATGGACGACGAACGTAATTTTCATGTCCAAACATAATAATAATGACATGCATGTCATGTAAAACATGACTTGATGCTACGCTAATAGCGTGCTCGCGGCCATTTCATTAGTTCCATATATTCTATCTATCTAGCCGCCTACGGCTTTTAGCTCTCCTGACCGCTTCGATAATGGTATTGACACCGAACTAGGTATGCCATAACATAACTATATGTAGAGCATACTTAAATAGTCATAACATGATATTATGGCATGTATGTCATGAATGTCATGATTTATTTTCATGGTCCTGCCGCTCTTGGTGTGGTTTCGTGCACATGACATGTTGCAAAACTAGTATCGTATGACATGATTGCATGGCGAACACAAGCGAAAGACCCTGACATAAAAACCATGACATGAGTGTTATGTAACAACATGACTACAGGCCACGCTCATGATGCGCTCAAAGCCGTTTCGCTTGCGTAACATGTACCGAATTCGGTAATACGGTACGTGAATTAATGACAAAGTTATGCGGCTTGTGCAAGCATAATACTCATGAGATGCGTGTCATGTAACAACATGACCACATGCTACGCTCATGATGCGCTCGCGGTCGTTTCGCTAGCTTCACATGTACCTAACTCGGTATTACGCAACGCGAACGAATGATATAGGGAAATGACACATCCAAACACAATCACGACGTGCGTGTCCTGTAACAACATGACTACGTGTCAGACTCAAGATGCACTCGTGGCCGTTTAGCTAGCTTCACATATGCCAAATTTTCTATTACTTGACGCCAATAGATGTAGAAGGTATGTGACTGGTGCAAACATGATTATCATAAAATGCATGTCAAGTGAGAAAATGACTACATGCCACAATCAAGGCACCAATACTTTTCAACGTGACGTGATGCGCGTGCTCGCTGGCGTTCATTTCGTCGCGTCACGCCGGCGTTGCCACACCAGTTGCGGTCCTGCAATTTACTCGCAGGCGCGCGCCGCGCTGCGTTGCTTTGACACATGCACGTATAGGGAAGACCCGCTCAAGTTTGCCCGGCGACGCCAGCGCTTGCCTTTCCCCTGCCAGAAAAAGCGCACGACAGTAGAGCCTTCCGACCCTTCCGCTCCCTTTGGCTTCCACGCATTTGCGAAGCACGCACTGCACGTGAAACGTCCCTCGTTCCGCGATGTCACTCCAACAGAAAAGGGGATGACATCGCTGCGTCGTCAACTGTCACAATAACCATGCAAACACGAAGAGGTCGACTCCGCCAGTGAAATTCTACCGATTCCCAAACCGATGGTACGAAACAAGCAGACGACAGAAATGGATTAAAGCAGTGCGCCGAAAAAAGTATGTAAACAATTTTTTTCATAAACATTAGCACGCGCACAATACATTCAAAATTACGTGTGTTAATTCGAGCGTCACCGTTTCTCTAATCTATCAAGTTACTGGGAGATGCACGTCCCCATCTTAAAAGTATAGATTTTCAACGCCCGCCTTTAGAGCACTGTTAAAAAATAGTGAATAAATATTTTTTGCTGCTACTATTATTCGGTATTGTTGGGGACGTAGTAGTTGAAGCTGTGTGCACATGTGGTATTGGTAATGTGTTATATATTTTTAAATCTACGTAGCGCCGACGGAAGTGTGTGGTTGCCAAAAGCTTGGACAACAATCAAAAAAGAAAAAAATGCATTAGCCGTTGTTGCACGTCCGTTGGCAGATACAGTGAACTAGTTGTTACTGAGTGTGCAGGGGCAGCCCGAACAACACGGTGCGTTTTTGATACGTGACCAAGATAAAATGCCTTTATAGCAATGCGCTCTTCCCCTGCAGATTAGACACACACACAAAAGCTTGTCTGAAAGCTGGGCGCTCATCATGACGGTACGCACGCTGTTCGTGAACTCAAGGTACCCGCGATGAGAACGGTGATAATGCAAGGAAGGACATGCGAGATAGATGTCAATTATTGTTGTGGGTCAGAAAGAAGCCCCAAATAGACCATTTATTTTTGAAGTGTTGTGTATACACCGCACGATAACTTGGGTGCGTGCTAGTAAATTAAGGTATCCCCACTAATAGCAGTCACAGCGCAACAACCGCTTAACCTAAAGCACGAGAAGCGGCCTTACGCATC